TGTGTGAGAGAGAAAGATGCAATTAGATAAACATATTTTGAACATCTGGTTTTCTGTTTAATTTGTGTATGGTCTCCTGTGAAAATCACTGTGGGTTTTTTAAGTAGTCTTTGAGTTATGGATTTCCCAAGAACCAGGATTCACTTAGCACTGGTGCCATGCTGCCTAGGAAGAAGGACAAATTATGGAACTAAATAAAATAAAGGAGGATCACACAGTAAAACGCAGACCTTACCACTGAAAAAGATTAGGTATGATTAGTAGGTATTAATAAATCTAGTTTAAAATCTCTATGAGAAGCAAAACCAAAGCCTGGAAAACTTGGTAAGTCCAAAAGGAGTTGGAGAGGTGAGCTGTATGTGCGTACAAATGCTTCGTTTTAAATTGCTTTAGCAAACTTTAAAATGTATTTTTAAAAACCCAGTTTTGTACAAACAAAATATTGCAAGTGTTTTTCCAGCCAGAAAAGATACCTTAAAGATATATCCACGTTGATTCTACCTTAACATATAGGAAGGGTAGACATTACTTCAGCTGAGTGTTTAAGCATGTGAGTAGTTCAGTACTTGTCTGGGCTTCAGTGAGATGACTTATTTCCTTGAATTTGGAGGCTTGCTGAAATCTCCCGTTGAGCTGGAGTCATGCTGCCAGCTCAGCCCGCCTTGCTTCTCTCCTCCTTTCATCCACAGAGCGGGTCGGTGCCGGCAGCATCCGACCTCCCACCGGGGTCTGCCGCTGTCGGCACCTGCCTGCTGCAGCGACCACAGTGAGAGCAGGGCAGGGTAGCTCAAGCTCCCTCCCCTTTTACGCTTCTTTCACCCAAAAACTAGAAATTCAAGCAGGAGTCCTCCCCTGATTAAATTAAATTAAACCACTGCTCGCAAGCTGTTCAGTAACTTTCTCAAAAATGTAAATGCGTGGGGTTACGCTGCAGATAGTCCTGTTAGGAAATATGTTGTACACCTCACTGAAATGCTGTACTTTAGCATCCTAAAGGATGCCAAGGGCTATCACAGGAAATGCTTTCCATGGCGCAGCACATCCAATGAGTTCTTAATGCCTGTGTGAGAACCAAAAGCATGTGGCCAGAGAAAGAGACTGCATATAGGAAAAGGAAATGGAAAAAACCCCCAGTCTGCAGCGTTTGCATGTCAGCCAGTGCTTTTGAGTTTTTCAAGGCATTACAGAAATACCAGTATTGGAAAAAGCAGTATTTCACTTCTTCTTTCAGTGCAAGTTCCTCCAGGCTTGGTCCTGGATGATGATTGCCCAATACTTCATAAAATGTAGATATTAATGCAGGATTTAATTGTACTCTTTGCTTACTTTCCTCTCTCAGGTTCTTTTTTACAGTGGCCCTTTATTAATACAGCATCTTCAAATGTTTAGAAAAGAGAAATAACAGGTTTACTAGGTAAATACACCCTGAGAACATGTACGTCACACAAGGTGTTAAATAGTCAAAATATTTTCCGTTTGCAATTTATGTGAGGTTCAGATGCTGGTGTCTTTCCCAGGACCAAATCTGAGAAAAGTGGAGAGGATGAAAACAAATGGATTTGATTTTTCCCTAGATATTCCATCATGTAAGTGCATAGTAGCTGAAAATCTTTATAGCAAAGCTACATATTGATACAATACAGTGGCTTGCTTTGGTTTGCTTCTGAGACTCATATAGCACTGCAGTGGACAAATAAAAGCAGAAGTGGAAGCAGAGTTCCTGTTGCAATTGGAAAGGAGGCAACAGATGGAGCAAAGAGAAAATCTCTAGTCTTTCTAGTCCACATTTTGTCTCGCCGTCTAATCAGTCTAATGGGATGTGTTCTCACTGGGGTGTCTCTGCAGGTTGCGAAAAATAAAAGTAACATCAAAGATCACACCTTATTATGGTGCTACCAGTATCGTTTATTTTCTACTCTCTTTTTCAGATATGCATTTTCACTTTTCAGCCATTTAAGCACGTTGGTTTAGCATTTTTGCACCACGCTGGTATAAAAGGATAAACACATAACTTCACTGGAGCTGGCTGAGCCACACCGAAATGTGTCAGCAGAGGTCCCGACCCATTCTGTGCATACAAACATGCCAGTCTGTTAGGAAACAAACACAAACTTCCTCCCTTTAAACATGAGCTCAGTTTTAATGGAAAATTTCTGGATAATGTAAAGTACAATAGAAAGGTCATAGCTCTACATGCTGAATTTGCTGTTTTCCTGATTTGCTGTCCTACTGGCTGGGCTGCTTTGTCATCTGGATGCATTTGTAATCTGAGAAACCCGAAATTGTTGTGCAAATGGGACTGATTAAAGTCTGCCTAATGAAAATGATCATTAAATAGCCTACATGGCTGTAAATATGAATTTTTTTATAAGTGCTGAACTTGGTTTTGAGTCGTGATGAGGCCCAACAAGCTCCAGTTCCTTACATCCTGCCAGCCACCTCTGAGTTCATTTCTGCCAGAGGAGAAGAGTGCTTTTGCAGTGATAGAAAATGATCACTTAGGGCAATCAAGAGATATCAGTATCTACTTTCACTTGAGTCCTTAAGGGAGGACTTAAACCCTGATGCAGTGCACTATCTTTTTAATGTTCAGGTCTGAATGAACTCTGTAAGTGTTTCAGTGTCCCGTAATGTTGTTAAAATTATATCTTTCTGTCTGAAGAAGCAGGGGTTACTGAAAGTACCTGTACCATAGGGTTTCTTCAGCACTATTGGGTTCTTAACTAGTTCAGCAGAACTGTTGAAGATGTGGAAAATAATTATTCTTTTAATGAAATGTTAATTTTCCGGAAAGTAAAAATACTTTAATCTTCTAAGAATCAGAATTTATTATATCTAATACATAGTTGTAACAATAAGAGAATTTCCCTGGAGGCTAAGGTGTTAGTACACATCTCGTGAGCATCTCTAAGATGGGGAGATGATAATGTTGAAAATAGAAGACATCAAAATTGTGGATTTGTAAACCCAAATCAGAAGTTATAAGACTGGAAATGTGAATGCAAATATGGACTTGCTCTTATAAATATAGAAGAAACTCAGGCCTCTAGAGAAAAAGCTTGGGAAATGAGTGCAGCATCCATCTGTAGTCATTACAGAATAGTTAGCACAACGTTAAGACCCAAAAGAAATATGTGCTGCTATGTATGTATATTATACTTGCTCAGTTGTATGTATTTTAGAATAAAATAACCTCATATGAAATGGTTATTAGTTGCACAGAGCACTTCAAAGGGTTGAAAAAGCATCTCAAGGACCTACCTAACAGTCAGGAATAATGGCATTCTAAACACTATTCTAAAATTTTTTATGCAGTGTTGTTTGATAGAAGATACTACACGTAAAGGCTTTTGTTTTTTTCTTTCTCCTTTTTAATTTCCACTTTCTTCTCTATTAGGTTGAGATGTTTGGGTAAGAAATGGGGAAAACGTCTTAAATCTGTTCATTTGATTTGAATGCAAATTGCGAGATTTGAATACAAGTAACTAATCAGTCATTCCTGTGCTGTGTTTTGAGACAAAAACGTGTGTTCTTCAGTAATACTGGCATAACAAAATTTTTTTGGGAAAAAAAGCAACAACATCATTAAGATTCATCTGTGATAGCAGCTAGCTTTCATTCACTGTGTTCCGAGGGAAATGACATTCATCAGGTGTCAGGCTCACCTGGCTTCAGTGACACACCTCAGAAGAGATCCTTTCTTCCCCCCCAGGGCAGATCCCTAATGAAGCCCTTGAGGGCCAGCTGGCTGTACCCCAGGGAGCATGCTGATCCTCTCTGTTTTGGACCATCTGGGATATTCAGACAGCTTCAGGTATAAGCTGGTCTCTGGATCTTGCAGGTCAGGGTAAAGGGTGAAGTGGGGCTGGGTAGCAAGTGGTGGGTTATTCTCACCTGCCCACTGAGCTGGGTCTTGCCCTGTTCTCCAAAGCGGTGGGTGCTGGGACTGGCAGTGACACTGGCATTCTCTGATGTGGGCTGTTCCAGTTGGGGGACCTTGAGACCAATCCAGCACTGCAAGCCCTGGCTGGACCTATATCTAAAATCCATTAGGAGGTCATAAGATCATCACAGGTGTAGTTTCAACCTGCCTGTGCCACTGAGTTGGGAGACAGTGAGTCAAGCATCATTATGCGAGGAAACAGGATGTCTGGGGAGTGAGTGGGTTCTCCTCCAAGTCCTCTTTTCTTTCTTACTTGTTTTCTAAAATAATTTTCTCCCTAAACATGTACCTGTCTGCTGTTTGCCTTCACCCCATGAGATTAATTGTATCCTGTTTTTTAAAAACTTACTGTAGAACAACTGTAGGTTTCAGTGAGCTGCAGGTGTCCACGCTATGCAGAAGCAGCAGTATCAAGAAAAACGTAACCACCTTTCTGTTGTGTAGCCTGTGGGTGTTTTTAACCTTACCAAACGTCTGAAGGCATCTGAATTGCGTCATCTGTTTTACAACTGAGATTTTAAATAGATAATCACCAGCAAGACATACAAAGTTTGATAATCCACAGCAAGACATACAAAGGTTTTTAACCGCAGAAGACTGTAAGAATGGCATATATAGTGTTGGCACACAGCATTCCCTTTTCCTGCTCCAGAAAAGGAGGGAAGCAGCTATATGAAATGCTAATAATTTCGCTGTGGTTTTGAATAGACTAGACTTGAGAGCCTTTAGTATTTTTCCTTTTCCCTTTTAACTGCAATTTTGTTATTGTATTGCTGCCCCCATCTCTGCTAAATATGGCTTTTGAAATGTAAATCATATCATGTTCTCAGAGATGCATATGACACCCTCAGCACTGTTCCTCTTTGCACTTCAAAGAGCTGTGTGGTCACACTTTGCATCTCAGCAAAATCGCAAGATTTGCCTTCTGAAGATCTCCTTTAATGTGTACAATCAATCCCTGATAATGTATTTTGGGTTTTTGTTCCCTGGAGTCTGTTAATTTTAGTGTTGCTACAGGTCATCAGGAAACATAATCTCTTCTTTTTTAATTTCTCAGTGAGTGTGCCTGAGGGGAGAGGAACACAAGAGAGGAGAGACAATTGAACGTCACCATTGGCCGAGACCTGAAAAAATGTTGCTGGATGAACACAGGATTAGAACTTAATTGTAAAAGAGAAAGAAAGTCTTGACAGGCGATTTGCTTCATTTTCACATTCATCATGGCACAAATCCTCTGGCTGGCTGGTTGATGGAACTGTCCAACGCTTCCTACTTAGGCTCAGTGCAGATTCTTCTGCGTACAGATCGAAAGACCTGGGATCAGGTGGTAACTGGATGGTGCCAAATATGGAAATGGAAAGAGAAATGGACTCTGACGAGCTAAGATGGAAGTGACTTGACAGCAACAAGCTCAGCAGTTGTCTCCAGTAAGGACAGGTTGAGACGGGAATCTCAAGCTTCGCTGGGAGAGCAGTATGCAGGAAGCTGGTTTTCAGGCCACAAATGCTTTCACAGGTAAGGATTTCTGTTTTAGTTCAGCTTACAGTTTTGGGACAGTATACTTGAGTTCAGAAAATAAACTAAGTCCTGACTGTCGCTAACCTCTTATGGTACTTTCAGTTTAAGTGATATTTTAAAACAATTCACTTGAAGACCAGTTCAGCACTTGCATTAGCAGCGAGGAACACAGTTATCCAGGTTTCAGCCTTGCGAAATGGATGGGCACAAGCCTTAGGGGAGGTTTAACTCAGCTTTCCTCATTAAAGTACTCATTAACAGCTTAACTCTGAGTGGTCTCTTGAGTCAATATAAAATGTAGTCTGTAAAGTTACTCTTGTGCTCAACATGGGAGTTTGGTGAGGCTGCAGGATGGACATGGTTTGTATCCAGAGGCTTCTCAGTAACATGTCAGTGTTCAGCTTTATCTTGTCAGCCAGAGCACATCTCTGGGCAGAACTTGCCAGGTACCCTCTCCTTGTACTCCCTCCTGCCCCACACCATTGACCTGCTGCAGTGCTTGAACTGGCAAAACTGGAGGGTTTAAATGATAACTGTTTCAACTGAATCTGGTGTATTTCCCTGTAGATGTATTGAAAATAATGTAATGAGAAAGAGGATGCCAAGGTGGTGTGTCCTTCTGAGGAAAGCTCCCTCTAGTGTGAAGTCTGCTGGAGTTCATTCGGTGCTTTAACAGTTTGAGATGGTTTCTGATTTGAGAGGTGGGAGAAGGAAAAGAGGATCAGAAGATTCTGCTTCCACGTCTGCTGGCCAGCTGAGATGCTGGGAGAAATGCACAGAAAATCAACTGGATCAACTTGTTTTAGTAGGTCTAGATAATGGGTTACTACCACAATGAAAATTAGTGATATGTAAGACATTTTTTTTCTAATTTAAAATATTTGCCTTTAGAAGAAGTTTTTTGGATTCTGAGTTGTATGTATGGGAAGATCTTTTTCTGTCTTGGGCTGCTTGATGTTCTAGGAGCTCTCCCCAGGAAGGACCCCCAAAACTGTTTATTTCCAGGCGGGCAGGCTCCTACTTTGTAGTCTCGCAAATCAGATCCTCCCGCAGAGGCTGATCTCACCCTTCTGGCTGCAGTGGGTGCGACTGTGTCCAGCCGTGCTCACCAGCACGTTGGTTTGGAGCAGTAGTGCAGTTCCAAACTGTCTCTGTCGCTTTGCACTGCTTTGATTTACAGCATGGTTTCCGTGTGTGTCAGTGAGATGTGTCCTGAAGGAGAGGAAACAGGAAGCTTTTCTCTGCATGTGCTCCAGTGCTGATGGGACTTGTGAAGTCTGGGACCACTGCAGGGCCCTCCTGCCTCTATCTAGCTAGCAGCACCCTCCTGAAGCTGCCCACTGCCATTCTTGTTCTGTTTGTCCTTCTTGCTCTCTGCCAGCCCTCAGCTAATTCCTAAGAGTGTTGTGTCCCTCCTTTACTCTCTACCAAAATTCCTACTGTGTGGATATCTGTTCTCTTCCTTACCCCGGCTTTTTCCTTTGCTGAAAACCCTATTTTTTCTAGCACCCTTGCAATATTAGATTATTGTCTCTCCAGCTTTGTACTCTTCTGCCACAATGTTTTCTGTCCCTTAGCTCCCAGAAGTTGGGAGTTGTTGGCATCGTGACTAGGGTGCTTGGGCAGCAAGGTGTCACAAAGATTTGTAACCTCATGACTACTGGTGGATGGAAAAGACCTGGCAAATAGTGCTGCATAAAATTCAGGGAGGTGAAACTGGGGTCCGTGAATAGTCAGACTGTGATGACAACCCAGCAGATTCAGACCTATTCTGGAGACTTAGCATGAAAGTTGCTTGGTCTCCCATAAGGAATTCTTATATTCCTTTGCAATTGCCCTTGGGTAAATATGTTAATATACATATTAAAATCTTGGCAGCTATACTAAAGAATTCTTAAACATTAAATAGCACCATCCATTCAGGAGACTTGTAAAGGAAACAGGTTGAAATATAGTTTCTTTATATGAGGAGAAGAGTTTGTATCAAACTGATAATCATATTTGGGTTTTGGAGATATTTCTTTTTCCTGGTTAGATTTATATGAGGTATTCAGCAATAGACAGTGGGTAGGTATATATTTCTTGGAGAAATTCACTGGACAAAGTTATGCTAAAGAGTTGTGATAAAAGTGCAATAGCAGGTGCATATGGTTTCTCCTCTGATCCTTGCTGTAGTGCTCCTTTTGTTTTATTGGAATGCAGCTGTATGAGAGAATAGTAGCTGCTAGCAGCAGAGGGGGCATGACCACATGTTGAAGGGAGCTAATTTGTACAGAAAAGCTTTGATATCTGAAACGTGTGCGATGTCAACACTGAATCTAGCCATGCTAAGTGATAGCAGCTTTTTCAGCAATCAGAGTAATCATTTCAATTTACAGCTGACCAGAGTGCTGGCAAAAGAAGCCTGGGAGGACAGTGCCTCTGTGTAGCCACCTTAGGAGTATTTCATAAATCTCCTTTCCACTTTGCTAATTGCTGTGACCTGGAAAGGCTTACAGTTATGGCTGGGAGATATTTTGATCCTGGTCTATATGCTCATTTACTGGCACAGATGCCAAAGCTGCCCTTTTTTCCAGATGGCTCTTGTCCCAAGAGATAGGCTCATCCAATTTTTTTTTATCATGTATTACCAAACGATAGTGTTTGGTTAGAACCTTTTCACGTTACTGGCTAAATACTAAATTCAGTAGACCGTGCCAGTACAATAGGCTCAGGATTACCTAGTGTAGAAAAAACAATGGAAGGGAAGTGCTCCTAGGCTTGATTAGGAAAGAGGTGGCGGAGCCCATGATGGTTAAAGGCGATTTGGGTGATAGCAATCAGGAAAGAGGGAGCTTATCATTCTTCAGAAGGTGAGAAGAGAGAACGTGAGAATAAAAGGCATAGTATGCAAGAAAATATCTCTGCAGTGTAGGGTGAAATAGCTGAAGCAAGTCTGAGCAATTAATAGCTACGCTGGAGATTATTTGGAGGACAGTTTAGGCTCAAAGATTTGTGAAAGGGCAAACACTGCACCTACATGTAAACTTTCTGGGTCCTTTGCTGTTCCCTTTGGAGTAGCTAGCTTATCTGAAATTTTGGGGAAAAAGTTTGAATCAAATAGTCAACTGAATATTTTAATAAATAGCCTGTAGATAATAATGTGATAAATGAATTTGCGTGTGTTTTTTTTTTTCCCCCAGAAGGTACCTTGTCAGTGGAGCCTAATTTTACTGTAAGTAGAAAATAGTATATCTGGATTTTTGAAAGTCTTTTCACACTTTCATAAGCAAGGTAGCAATATGAGCTACAAGGTGGGTGCACAGTTGGCTGAAAAGCTGTTCTCACAATAATTACTAGTGATTCATAGTCAAACTAGAAGGATCTGTCAAGTGGGATTCTTCCCTGGATTGCCTGAAAATATTCAATATTTTAATTAATGATTTAGATGATAGAATCTGCATGCAAAATTTCAAGATGACACCAACCAGGGAGAGGATGTAAGCCCTCTGAGGACAGGATTAGACTTCAAAATAATAGTATATTGAAGAACTGATCTAAAATAAATATGATGTAGTTCAGCAAGGACAAGTTCTGAGTTGTGGTTGGGCAGGAATAATCAACCATGCAAATCAAAATTCAGAGTAACTGGTGAGACACCAGGTCTGCAGAAAACAGATGGGCAGTTGCAAGAGTTCTGAAAGTGGCTGTGAATCAACAATACTATGCCATGAATGTTATGCTAGAATATATGGACAGGGGTCTGTATGCAAAATAATTTTCCACTCTACTTGCCATTTGTGTGCCTGGTGTACTATTTCTGTTCTGAACAGCACTCTTGGGGCCTGTTGGAAGCATCCAGAGAAGAGCAGAATGAATGGCCAGAGGTCTGGAAGACGTGAGCTTTGAGAGCTGAAAAAAGTTACTAGAGCAGTAACTCTCAGACTTTCTGAAGATGTTTTTCCTAGGTTCCCAGAAGCAGTGCAGAGTTGTGTCAGGGCATGTGTCTGATGCACTGAGCTACATGGCAAGATGCGACCGTGATGTAGCAGTGCTTTGGAGTGAGGGTCAGAAGGACCTCCTTGCTTGCACTCTTCTTAATTGCCGTGAAGTTCTACACCTTCTGCCTTGGCTACTCTCAGTTGCCATAACAGGAGTGGGGATTCTGGACAGCCAAGGTCTGTTTTTAAAATCAGCCACTTTCTTCAGTAGTGTTTTGAGTGCTGGTTTAAGATAACAGTGTGATTCTGAAATGAGCTCTCCATCACTGGGAAGTGTGTGGCACAGGGAGGTCCAGGATGGTCAAAGGACAAGGGCAACACTATGTGATGGATTAGGAATCAGTGTATGAAGACTCCTGACCTTGCATGGTCAATTTAGGTTCATTGGGATTTTATTAACTCCATCTCAGCACAAGCTCTGTCAGACCTGGGCTGACTAGAAGGCATTCCTGCTTTGTGACCCTCAGCACTGCTAGAGGGATTATTAGCTGTGTCACTATGGAAAGCAGAACAAATAGTAAGAGGTTGCTCTGTGCAGTAGGCCCCTGCCCTTAGTCTAGCACTGACTTTTGCTGTCATCTTCTGATCCTGTTCTTCCATAGCTGCATATCTTCTCCCTCATACCGTTCCCTCAAATCTTTCCATCATCCCTTGCAGCCTTATGTCTCAAGGTCATTGTCACCAAAGCTCGACCTTGGGCCATATCCAGAAAGACCAAGTTACTCCCAAGGAGCAACTCCTCAGCTTGGCTGATACTCTCCCAGCCCCTGCTTTGGTAGAGAGACGGAACTCATCTGTTCGGAGATACTCATGCTCATAGAAATACTGCTTGGTGGAGCTTCTCCAGTCCCCCCACCTCTGTGCTTTTCCCCCAGCACTCAGGACTTCTGTTGCATTTCTTGTCCTGTGTTTCATGCTGTCCCAACCTCTCTTTGCCTCTTCTTCCATCAGTGCCCACACCCCCTCTCTCTGTTATGAGGCTCCTCCATTCCTCCCTGTTTGGACATCTGGTTTCAC